CCACTCTGCCTGTGGTTTTTTGCATTGTCCTGCTTTCCCAATGGACTGCAAAGAGAGTCTAGGAACATGATTTGGGGTTTTAGGTGCCTTAACTAAGGTAGCATACCAAAAATGTTGCAGCACCTGATATGAAGGCATCTAAACCCTTCATTGGATCTGGCCCAGATGCGCTGAGAAGAACTCTTGCTGAAATTGCAGCAGCTCTATCAATAGTAAGTCCATGAGATTGAAGAATTTACCTGCAGCCCATGGTTGTGCCTGCTTTTCCTCTCACAATTCCCCTACAGTTCTCTTTTCTAGCCATCCTGAGCTGGAATAGTCCAGCTAAAATAAAACTGCTGAATGAGAAAAGGTTGCAGAAAACATTTGGAGAAGACAAGGTTTGAAGGTCAGCTTTACAACAAGCAGAAGAAAGGAGAAAATGAGGAGAAGCATCAGATTCAGGTATTGAGAAAGTAACCGTTCAGTACAACGAGCATACTTCTGTGAAAGCAATTACCATCTTAACAATATTTTAAAAGAGGAAGAACAGTGCTTAGTTAGCTGTTAAACTTTCAGAATGGCGAACGGTAGCCCAATGGACGCGTTTCCTACGGCACACAATTAAGATGGGATGGAAGAACACCTTTTTTCACGTTTAGAATCCCTCAGAGGCCACAGAAGCTAGATCAAGAGTTCAGACCTTCAGAATAAAGGTTTCCCTATGTCCTTGCAAAATTATGACTTCTGAATTATTGCATAATCTCTACAAGGACTATTTTCAAATGTCTTTTTGACGGAAAGGGGTAGCATTTAACTTCAATACACTCATTGCTCACACTTTAATAGGAAAAATGTCTATTTAACAGAATTCTCTTTGTATGAATTTCAAGTAACCACTAGTTCTCCCATCCTTAGGTTCCACTTATTTCAGATAACTTAGGAGTGGCATATTTAAAAAAAAAAAAAAAAAAAAAAATTTTTTTGCTGTATTGTGTTACCTTGAATTTGTTTCCCACGCTGATGAAACTAAGCTTCCCTGCTTTTTGCTTGGGATCCCTGTTGTTGTTAGTGTTAGATTCAAATAGCTGTCGAACAAACTTGTCCTTAGACTCGCATATAAGAGATTCAAGGGACATGTGCAAAGCATCGTTATTTTTCTCCACGAACTGCGTCTGAAAAGACAACCCAAGAAATAATCGCACATTTGTGTCACGGCCTGAGTAGGCATGTCTTAAAGAAAACTGAAAGAAAAACAAAATTATACACTTAATTCAAAATTATCTAGAATTTTGGAGTAAATATTTGTACATTATTTCAAATGACTTCTCAACACGATACGCAAAGCACTAATGACAACAGAGAAAAAAAGATCTTAAATTTGAAGGATGTTGATGGAATCATGAGGCCCAAGGGGAGGTCTAGCGCCTTTTAAGAAATCGGTTGTGCTTTTGCCAATGATTATACTGCCCGTATCCACTTCCAGCTCTCAACGCCTCATCACTTGGGAGTTCTGGGAAGCTTAATTCTTCGTCCCTTGTAACATCATTTAAGATTTGCTGTGAAACAAGAACTAGCCTGCATAGATACTGTTGCATCTAGAGTTCTGGCAAATGAACGAACAATAAATGGTTATTTTAGTAGCACTGTTATATTATGACTGTTTAAGGACAGCTAGTAAAATAAAAGACATTATCTTCTTCCTACAAACCTTACCTCTCTGCTTAATTTAAATCAGCTAACTTTTTAGAAGTCAGCGGCAAGGCATTAAACTGAAGTTCAGAGATCGAGAAACCTATATGCAATTTCAGACAATGAAATTCTCAATAGTTTTTGGTGCAACTTTAATAGTGATTTGGACATCTATGAACATTTATGCCATTAATTTGAACATGAAAAACACAAATTTGCTAAGACATCCCATAAAAAGCTTCAGTGCTGATGGGAACAAAAGAACAAACACGGGCCTCCGAAATCCATTTGAGCTGTGAGAATGTAAGACTGGAATATGAATGCAATCACATGAGTGTCGTTACCACAAAGCAGATCGTGAGAAGTGTCACGACAACAAATGCAGCGCGAGAGAAGGAAAAAGAAAGAACTGGTAAGGTTTAAGGCAGTTTTGGCCCAGAAATTGTTTAGATTAAGCTAAGCAAGTACCACTGAGGGGCAGGGTAAAATTACCTCAAGCGTTATTAGTATAGGTTCTGGACCAAAGCTGCCTCATATCTGATAAGCTCTGAGAGCAGAGCTTGTGTGCGCACATCTCACTCTTCTGTTTGTGAAGACACTCTAAAGCATTATTAACGAACGTATCATGATGAGGTACACAGTTTAAAACAGAGCATTTGGAACAATTCTTCTAATGCTTCCTCTAATTGTAAGTCTTCTAATTGTGTTTGTTATTTTGATACTGACTCATTGTGTCGCCTCAGAAAAATCATTTCGGCAACACACAAGCCTCAATTTTCTTATCTGTAAAATGATGTACATAGTGTACCTACTTCAAAACACCATAGTAATCATTATCATTCTTAAGAGTATTTTGAAGAAGATAAGAAGGTACTGTGAAAGCCCTCATTTTCAAATGACAAAAATCATCCCTGGAAATAGCTTGCCTTTTACGCACTGCAGTTAGAGATGAGCACAGCAAAGCATTACGGACCTTTTTTTTTCCCTTAAACTATTTTCAGGTATGCATAGTTAATGCATAAATTAAAAAAATTGTTTTAGTTACTGGTTTAAGACGTTTGAATGTTTTTGTATGATGAACAGTCATATAAAAGTACAAGAATCTAGAATGTATGTGAGAGTCACAATTTCAGATATTTCATATCCTAATATGAATAACTATCGTGAGTAACAACGGAAAATACTGAAAAAAGAAGTGATTTTTTTAACATAAAGTCTGTGTACAGCACGCTTCTGAAAAGTTACTGTTATGCCCAACAAATTTATATCGTATGGTGCACTCCTCTCCCCAAGATGCAAACTTCTGTTAGCTTAAGATTTTGCAGTAGACCATGAAATCAATATATTTAATACTAATACCGTTAACAAGCACTTGCATAAAATATGTCTCAACAGAAGAGTCTGTAATTTGAAAAGTTAAAAGAAACTAAAATGTCAATTCTCTCATGAATCACAAAATTTAGATTCAAAGCTAAACCACAAATCATCTTGTGAATTTCTCTGATGAAAAAAATACTTTATTTTGTAGTCTCTATACTCAAAAAATAAGAGTACTATAAAGCATAATAAAATTAGCTGACTTGATTTTTCTGTTGTCATTGTTTTTAAGTTAAATTACCGTCTCATAGCATACTGCTCCCGCAAAATGCCGGATAATAAAGCCTTCATCATCCCTGATGTTTCTGTGAACAGCCAATTTAGACTTTCTTGGAATCTGTAATTAAAAAGTAGAATTACAAAGAAGAATTACATTGAACAGCAAGGAGAATATACTGCTAGGACAACACCATGTTTCTGCCATGAGTACTAGGTGTTAAAAATAATTCTCCCTGCTATATAATTCTGATGACCATCACCATTTCAGTTCAAAGAAAGATATTAAAACAAAACAAAACAAACAGCCACCCACTCAAACACCTTTTTTCATTCCCATTCACACTCTTAGGCACCTCAAATGTGAATGAGCCTCAAACTCAAAATCAAGCTCGCCAAGACTACTGATACCAGTTGGCTGAATCTCTCCCCTACTTAATCAGTAATTTCTTTTCCATTCATTCTCTAGCTGACTACAGGCTGACGCATAATGTCGTCATAGGAAGTGGGAATAGAAGCTTAAAATAGAGATTCGGATGGTATCTTTTGAAAGGCAACCACCTAGCTGATCATACATACACTGAGAAGAAGGTTTCATTGCACAGGAATCTACTTGAGCAGATTAAGTGGAAATTTATGAACAGTAAAAGCAGACAACAACTTTTACTTCAGCTCCCCTTGCTTGCATTTTTTCAGTAGGGAATTAACATGTATTTATTTTTGCAATTCAACCAAAAGTCATGCACATAAATAGCCATGGTTTGTATCAAGTCTTCCACAGAATGATGTAAGTTTTCCTGGTGTGTTCCACATTTTCATCTCCGAAGTGCTAGCTAGACGCTTCATGCTGGCTAGATAGTCTCCAAAGCAAGCACTACCAGAAAGGAGCAATAAAACAGCTCATCTGATGCAAAATTATCTTAATTAAAACGTGTTTTTATTTTCTATTCATGCAATTACATGCTAATAAACATCAAGTGCAGATGAAGACACATCACATCAGTTTCACCAAGATATCGAAATGTCTACAAGACTTAACAAGCCTTTAGAGGACTTTTCAACAAACCTAATGTCTAAACTTGTCCTGGACAAAAGAATATGAACTGTAGAAACTAGTGTGGCTTGAAATATCTTAGAAAAGGTTTTCATTAAACTGACGTGTTACTATCAAATGTCCCGAGAACTCATTTTTATTAGAACAACACAGACAGCGTAAGTAAACTTACAGAGAGTCTGAAATGGTCTTTGTGTTTTTGGTGCACAACTGAAGTAAAATGCTGGTCACTTGGTTGAGGAAGACGATTTTCTTCATCCAAAATATCCAGCACACCTATTAATTTTGCTTCAATCAAATCTATTTATTAAAAAAAAAAGCTTATATCACATAACGGATTATGAACATCACAAGTTTAAAATGCTACTGATATGGGTCTGTGTAATTATATCCAGGTAAAGCTTTTAGCATAAAAAAACAAAGTAATTGTAAACTAATTTTACACATTGGAATTATTGATTAAATCAATAGTTCTTCTATACACATTATCAGAAGTTTCAACTTTGACACAGGGAACACAAATACTAAATCTCTGGGTCCTTTCATGGCCATTTAGTCATCTAACTCCCAAAAGGTGCCTACATGTTGTTGTGATATGGGCATAGGTCTTCACGGCATAATTGCTTGTACTGATTTTTTTTTTTTAAAAAAGCTTTTTGTCCATGTTTTGCCAGATGTTGAATCTAAAAATCACAAAAAGGACTATACTTCCTTTTATTAGTTTATCTAAGAGTAAGTCATACTATGTAGAAACGTGTAAAATCTGTACTGTGGTGTCATATGTTGGCTGGAATACCAAAAGGGATCATGCCGGGGGTCAGAGCATCTCTGCCACCAGTAATCTTAGGTCAACTGCCCAAACCACTTCTGCGGCTACTGCATGACTCTATGGCAACAATTTCAACAGTCTGAAAGAGAGGGCAAAAATTGAATCATGACCTGTTTTCCCCCTAAAAGTCAGAGAGACCTATTTTTTTTCAAATGGGCATCAGGGAAAATGCTTTTGATTCTGAGACATGTTTCAAAACAAAGATGAAATGAGGGGAAAAAAAGGAAAGTTTATTTTTTGTTTTCTTTTTTCCTTCTCTTTTTTTTTGTAACGGGAACATGACAGCATCTGAGCTATCGCAGTATTTCTGGGAATACGTTCATACAGCCGTTATCAAACTACCAGATGATATATGGCTTGCATTCATAAAAGTCACATATTTACTGCAAATTTATTTTGTTCCCTCCTCCAGACACCCTGCTGTTGCTTTTCCGCAAGACAGCCAGTTGATTTGTTTGGCATGCAATGCACTGCCTTTAGTTACCTCAGAAGAAGTGACTGCACAGTCCTACCTGACAAAGCAAAAACTTCTTGAGCAGAGCTACAGAAGCACAAAAGAACCCAGTATTTTGCAACAGATGTTGAACTCTTAACTGTGAATCCTCTACTCAGGATTACACCAGCTACTATGGGCAAACTGCTGTAAATATGAAAGCACAATCGCTTCTGTTCACAATACAACAATTTGGAGAGCACAAGCTGAGATTAGAAAAACATCTTAAGCCTTTGAAATACCAATCTGTGCAAACTTAAAACCAAAAATAACATCTACAGCCTTTTGTCCACATTCTTCCCCCTCCCCCCTTTACTGATTGTTTCCAAGGGTGTGTGTGTGGGGGGGGGGCA